GGGATGGTAGGGGTTGGAAGGCACCTCTGAAGATGATAAAATCCAACCCCACTGCTAGAGCAGGCTCTCCTAGAGGTGATATGCGTGTCCTCAGCAAGGACTCTGTGTCAAGTACAAGTGCTTAGTATTTGTGACTGGAGAATATTCAATATATTGGCTCATCACAAACACATGTACCCTGATCTTGTTTGGCTACAGAGCCCCAATATCAATGCCGCGCACTGCTGGGAGACCTCGGGTGTAATTTGAGGATGCATAAACTCAGGCTAGCTTTGAAACTATGACTCAAATGCTAATTCAACTTCTGCTAATCCTAGCCCAGAAGAGAAACTGCAGATGTCTTGTGTAATGAAGTCACGGGTAACAGAGTGTGTTAGGGTGAATGAGTGCACTTCTAAGCTGTTGAATCTCTGAACTCTTGCAGTGAGTGATAGCACACCTCTGAACAGCTCATTCTCCTTTCATGTAAGAGAAATAAAGCACAGCTGCTCTTATTCCTGTATTTGGATATATGGTTGGTGCTGTGAAGAGCTGTTTTTCCCAGTAGCTGCCTCATTTCTATTCCACTTATCAGGATGTAGAGGAAAATGGAGCCTTAAACTTCTTGACTTGGTCCATTGCAGCAATCCTGGAAGACGTAATCATAGTTTCTAGGCATCCCAGGCTGTTTGGTGGTCTCTTGGTGCTGTGTAAATTTGCAGTCAATGCATGGAAGTGTAAAGATTCAATACCTCCTTCCTCACACCCATTATTTCTGATCTAGCACAGTGTCTGCTTCTTGCTGCTTCTCCTCCAGGGAGACAGCTGGTATGGATGGATGATAACACCAAACTCATCTTAAATAGCTTGAGGAAGATTTCTTTAGTGGAATATGAAATTCATAGAGTGCCTGCTCTTCACCAAGCAATGTCAGATGTGATAATGTTTGGACCTGCAAACCTGCTTCATTTTTAGATGGACTTTGGTTTGACTTTACCAACTGGGACAGTTGATCCTGTATTTCCCCAGCCCATAGAAATGAATAACTTCTTGTTTTGAAACACCAGCCCTTTAATGAAGTCTCTTAAATGTTTTTAAACTGCTGCTCAGAATGAAGTTCTAATATGGAGTGTGGTGTAAGCACTGAGCAGGACTGGTGGTCATATCATTCTCCTTCTCACCATATACCTGCCTGGTCCTGAGCTCTGATGTACTGGTCTATTGGTTTCCCATTTGCCTCTCCTTACTGGAAACTTGAAAATGTAAGAGGTGGGAGTTCCTGTTTTGCAGTATCACCAACTCGGAGTTCTTTACTACTGAAATAAAACTTTGTGTAGTAGTGAATCAACCACAGTTGCTATTATATTCTGTATCAGCTGCAGGGATTAATAAAAGAAGCCTTCACACGCCTGCCCTAGTTTTGTGTCAGGTAGCAGCAGGACCAGAAGAGATGCAGCTGCTTCCCTGCAGTGTTCTGAGCCCTGGAAGATGCTCTGCTCTGTGGAAGAGGAGACCATAGTTGTATGGTGGATGGGCTTTGGTTCAGATGTTGACTGTGTACACAGCAAATTCTTTCTCTACAAGATGAGTAAGGGATGGAAAAATCTATTATGCTTGGCCTCTGGGCTTGTCTGGCTCTTCTTTTGTCATCTGATGTTACAGTTGTCAAACCAATAAACTGCTGCCTTCTCTGCTAAATATGCGATCGCCTGTGTGAAACGCTAGGACCTCATTTGTTGTTTTCCCCATATTTACAACACTGCTCCCTCCTTTCTCTTCACCTGCTCCCCATCCTCAGAAGTAAATGGCCATGTCGTCTGCTTAGCAGGTTTTCAGAAGTTTTCTTCTGTTTCATGTATTTGAGTTTGCCTTTCTGCATTGTGTTCCTGATGCCCCACTTGCTTCCTATAGAACTCGTGTCTTGCTTACATCTGACATCTTGTGTATTTGACAGCTTTGTAGCTTGCGTGTAATGATGCTTCCCTCAGTACTCTCCATACTCTCAGGGATTGTTCTCAGGATAAAAAATGTTTTCTTCATCTGTTAATTTTCCCCTGTCATCTGTTGAATCAGATCAACTTGTACCCGGATGTGTTTTCTGTGGAAAACATTAATTTCATTGAGTGTCCCCAGTTCTTCTGCTGTAAGAACAGTTGGTGCTCCTTCCCTAGTTATCTTCTTTTTGCCATTCATGACTTTATGGACCTCTCAAATACCTGCATCTCTCTTCTTTCCGGCCAAAAAGTCTTAAATATATGCTTGTGTGAAAGCTCTTCCAACCTCAACTGTTCTCATTACTCACGGAAAGTGATTTTAAGTATAACACCCATGTTGAATTGAATGGATGGAGGACTGACGCTGGTGTTTAAAAAGGAGGCAAACCCTAGGGTTTTTTTTGAGTGGCATGGTAATGTTTCCTGCTTTATTCTTTGTGTATTTTGTAACAATCTTTCATTGTCTTTTGGCCTTTTTGATGATGCCGAGTAGTGAGCTGCTGTTTTTCGAGAAATATCTGAATTATTCTCCCATGCAGTTAGTGCTATCTGACTTAGGCTTGTTTTGTTTCTGTGAGCATTTCCTTAGAGTTATGAGCTCTGCTATATCACCTGGTTCATTTCTTGTATCGGTGTATTAATGAGTTGCTGAATTAGAAAAAAGTGTTGTCCGATTTCTGTTTGAAAGTGCAAGTGTTGTTTTAGTAGACGCTTATTTCCAGAGCAGTGCTGGAGCCTGTTATATCACATTGCTAATGACTTCTTCAGGGGTTTAGTTTCTAAGAAAACTCTCATGCATGCAGGCAATGACGATATTGCCACTTGATGAGCACCTGAAAAAATAATAGAGGTTCATAAACCTGAATTATCAGTGTTGGGGTTGTTCTTGTATTTTCTACTGTATTCTTTCACTCTATAAATGTATTATGGAACTGCTTAGGAGTCTCTTCATGATAAACTGTACTCTTTGAAGATTTTCTAATGTGACACACAACTGTATGGTCTGTCTTAGCATCTTAATTCTACACCAGTGCAATGCATTTGTTTCTGGATAGTCATACGTGTGAGATTTTGATACCCTTGCCAGGATGGAGATGAGGAATGCTCTCGATTAGAGGTTTGCACTTGCCTGTATGGCAGGAGATTATAAAGCCCTTTAAAGGCAGTGCCCGTGTCTTTTATCAATGTGTCTTTTCCACCTCTGCTGAGAGAATTCTGCTGAGCAGCTCTGGAGAGTTTAATTGGTTTTCACAGTGAGTGTTAAAGAATGTTATCTTCAGACTGCCTGAAAATACAGTGTCTTGCAATTGTGCTTTCTTATTAAAAAGCTATTCTTCTTTGTAAGTGGTAAAAAACTTTTTCTATGCTGACAAATATGGTAGTTTTGGTTTTGGAAGGCTTTTTATAAAGTTACAGGCAGTTTTTGTGTGCTCTGAAAATCAATGATTCTGCAGATAGCCTGTGGCATTGCTTACAAACAAGGATGTTATCAGCAATTAGATTTGGTAAGGAGATGTTGTCCTTAGGGAGTCAGTAATTTAATATAAATTGAGTGAGAAGTCTTTTAATGCAGATTTGAAGTGTTGCATATTTTCAAGTCAATCCATGTGTCATGACATAATGTCATTTTGTTTTCTTATTACTTTGCTGTCGTCTTTTGTAATCGTAGCTTTAGGTTTAGTGAATAAGTTTTATGAGATCAGGCCTGTGATCATTGATATGCTTAGGAACTATTTAAGTGCCTTGTTTAGATAAAGGACAGATTTATGCTATTATCAATTTCCTGTTCTTCACCTCTACACGAGTGGAAGCCAAGTCTCTTAACGTGCTGTATGCTTACATGTTAATACGGCACAGACTAAATCTCCAATACATGGTGGCTTTTCTGGCAAAAATTACATGATGTGAAATAAGCAACAAAGTGCTTGATTTGCAATTAGTGCCTTGCAGATATTATGTTTTTAGGCAGCTACAGGTCACTTACACTTGCTGTTTTTGAGGAGATAAAGTAACTTTGCTGTGGTAAGGCAGCTAATGAAGGTAAACGCAGTATCTCTTGTCTGTGAGACAGCCAGGAAGATTTTTACCTCAGAACTGAGATTTTTTTGAACAAAATAGCTCTATTTCAAAACACTGGAATACAAACGGGTAACGTGGTACTGCAATAAATGGTCTATTAAGTTGGCAGAACCGATAGTGAGCCCTTTGCAAGTATAGGTAGCAAACTGATCTCATCAGGTGGTTTTGCCACGTCTAGCTTCTGATTGAAAGGTTTGTTTGAACTCTGCAATATTTTGGCTACTCCATATCATTGCTGTTCCTTTTTCCTCTTAGATTAGCATTTAGGTCTGCCTTTCACTGGGGCTCTCCTGAGATAAGGCTTGCCTTTTAAATGGTAGTTAATAAAGTTGCTGAGCAGTTGAGAAGTGTGGCTGGGAGCAGGAAAATAAGGTGTCTTTGTTCACTTTAGTTTAAGAGAAAAAAGAAAACGCATGAAATGTGATAAAAGAAAGTACAATTCTGCCTAAGACATACTTGGGTTTTTTTATCTAATCCAAGGTATTTTTGAAGAAGAGTTTAGTAGTATCCTGAAAATAATGTGAATCTTCTGTGGATAAGAGTATCTAAATTACACTAAGAGGATGTAAATTCATTGAGAATGTGTGTCTTAATTCACTGCATAAGTCATAATTTCTGATCTGATGTCATAGGTGCTTGATTTGATTGTTGTCCTCTATTGTATTTCCTGTGGCAGGATGCACCAGGTCTGTCCATTTATCCTTTGAATTCACAGGTACAAAGCTGGTATTAATTTATGTTTTACAAAGGCAGGGATCTGATGCAGATTTAGAATTTGTGCCTTCTGTGTCTTTGCTGCCAGGCTGAAGCCTGTCCTCTAAGATATTTAAATGGTAGTGATTGCTGTTGGGCAGTAATTTACAGAAGAAAGAGATGCAAAGTTGCTGGAGTTGTGGACTTTAAATGCAGTTTTGAACCCTGACTCTGCTGTGTTTTGTGTAAAAGCAGATTGAATGCCAGGATGCCTTGGAAGCAGCTGCTCGGGCAGAGGGGCTGCCCCTGGACACCTCCGTGCACTCCCAGCTGAGAATGCTGGACGAAGAGCATTACAAGGGCAAATACCACCATGGTCTGAACGCGCTGAAGCCCATACGGACAACTTCCAAGTAAGGAGGCTACAGAAGAACTGATACAGCATTTGCTTTTCAAACCAGTCACAAGGCAGGACTGCAGCTGTAGGTCTGCTGACTGGTACTGAAAACATTAGATTTTGTTTCGCAAGTATGACTGGCATGGGCCATTTGGTACTCTGAGTACTTTCAATGAGAGGAGGCTTTGTTTTTCTCAGGGATGTACAATTCTGTTTCCTTTTTCATCTGTTTGTGATTTTTCTTTCAGACACCAGCACCCTGTTGATAATGCTGGGCTCTTTTCCTGCATGACCTTCTCCTGGCTCACTCCTTTGGCCCACAGAGCGTACAAGAAAGGGGAATTGTTCATGGGTGATGTGTGGTCTTTATCAAGGCATGAGTCTTCAGATGTCAATTGCAGAAGGTAGGGACATCTTGTTCCTTATTATTTTTTCTTGTTTCCTCTTTTTTTATATGTTAGTGCACAGGCAATGATATACTATTGCCTCAAAAAAAGCAATACTGATGTTTTTTTTCTTCCTGCTGCATCACTTCTGTACTCCTGCTGATTTGAGTGAACTTGGAGGATTCTGTCTCCAGGAGTGTTTTGCAATTGTTTTTCTGATTTTTGTATGTCTTTAAACTGTTTCTTTATTGAAACAAAGTTCTTGAGGTTACACTGAAAAAAAATTCTTGTGCTAATGAAGTGAAAAGTAATACTGAACATAGCAAGGTGATTTGAATATGGCCAGATCTTCCAATCAGGATAACCTTTTTCTCATGTTTTGGCTTCACAACGCTTCTGTCAGATCAGCAAGGAAAGACTATGACAAGTCAGTATATTAAGATTGCCAAAGAGACTCTGGGCAAAGCAAAAGGCATTGTGTTTTTCATCCCTCGCTTCTGTAGAAGTAACACAATACAGATATTTCAAGATGCAGATATTTCTCTTTACCTCACAGAATGTACTATGTATTTATATCTCTTGATAATTTTTGTTGTGGTAATTTTAGTAAGTAAAGTAAAGTAATTTTTGTTGCTCTGAGCTAGGAAGTGCTTGGAATGTTCACAAAGAAGAACCCATGAGATTGTTCCTTCTCTCATGGTGAAAAATTTATAACGTGGTACTTCCCTTTTTATTAGGCTGGAGAGATTGTGGCAGGAAGAACTGAACGAAAGCGGGCCCGATGATGCTTCTCTCCGGAGGGTTGTGTGGATTTTCTGCCGCACCAGGCTCATCATTTCCATAGTGTGTCTGATGATCACGCAGCTCGCGGGTTTTAGTGGACCAGTAAGTAATATCCATCCTTTTTTTAACAACCCCAGAGGGCTCCATCTCATGGCCAACTCTAAAGTCTTAAGGTTTCATTGCAGAATCACTTAAATGTTTTGACTAGCTAGAAATTTTGGGGCAAAATTCCGAAGTGATTCAATAATCCAAGATAGGTTTCCTACAGCTGGTGGATCAGTTGCTGAATACTGAGGGCAAGTTCTTGGCGAAGGGAGGGGGAGTTTAGATATCTTGGAGGAAATGCACACTTGGTTTTTCTCTTTGGTTTTGAGTATAGTTTAAAGTTCTTCCTTAACTGATATGTGGTCTTTTTGCATAAAATTCTGATGTGCAGGTCTTTTAATTGTTTTCTTTTTCTTTTTTTGCAATTCTGTAAATTTATCTCGGAATCAAATTCAGCCTGATAAAACACTAATCTTAGATTATTGGCATGAATAGCCCAGTCTTCAAGAAGTGGAACGAAACAATTTGATTAGAGCGCTACTTAAAAACCAACGTGAGCAGGTCTCAAGACGTCTGTGGGTGTAGTCTTTACTGCTCCTACAGAGCATGGTCAGACAGGTGTCATGTAGAAGTGTTAGAGTGCGTTATTGCCTCTAGGAACTGCTGCTGTTTGTTGCTATGGGTCGTAATGAAGATAACAACATATGGGACTTGACATTCACGCCATTTTTTTGTCACCTGTTTGTTGCACGTGCTGTGCAGATTTCCAGTTGAAATTTTGACTAAATTTATTCTCTACACATTTCCCTTGAGGAGTAGGAGCAGTATTACTGCTAGTAGTACACATTTCAGTGTGCTGGTAAGCTGAAGGTTCATTTCTTGGGTAAGTACACTTGGGTGGACTGTTAGGTGAAATGTCTTTTTAAAATGTTTTCCTGCTTTTAAATGTCTTATCAAAATGATGTTCTGCTTTTTAAGCCTTTTTGAAGTTTGCCTTGTTTCATGTAATATGAATAACAATAAATGTTTCTGTCGTATTGTTTTCTTGGTAATAATTTATAGTAGCTTGTATTATAAAGCATATGGACACACTTTGGTAATTAGCAGTAAATCACAGTTAAGGTTTTAAGAGCACTAGTTTTCCCCAAGAAGAGCTTCTGTCATTGTTTCACTGCAGGGTTTTGTAGCTGCTTTTAAATTTAGCAAAGAACTGGCAGCAGGGTTGCCCCTAATTTCTGTGGTGTAATTTCCTCAGTTTGTCTCAGCTGAATGAGACTGCGAGGGGAAGGAGAAAACCAAACTGATTTGACTAGGCTAGGGGCTACCACTGCAATTGGTGCTCAGTTTGGGGAACTTAAAATCATCTGTAGCCGCTTGCCCATTTGCAGGCAACCTTGTTAATTTCTCTGAATAAGAGAAATTTGGTTCCCTTTGGTTCCATCATTTGGCATGAAAAATAGTAAGTCTTTACCATCCCTCCTCCCTGTTTTTAAAAAAATGGCATGCCTCATGGATATGCCCATGCTGTCTCCTCAGAAGTATCAGTGCTTTCTTGTGGTGTTGTACCCTTTCAGTCACGTGAAAGTGGAAAGGGAGATCACGAAAAGCACTTGACTTAGCCTCATGTGTTGGTAAAAAATTATCAAAATGGAGTTAAACGCTATATTAACCTTCAAAAATGTTAATTGAATGTCTATGACCTTGAAATGCCAGCCAGCAGCTCTGACTCCGCTAATGAGCATGGTGGTGGTTATAACTGGAAAGGAGTTGTTGCAAACTTCCTCTGTGTGTTTTGTTTTGAGTTTTGGGGTTTTTTGTGTTGGTTTATTTTACTTATATATATATATACACATATACGTATCAGATCCTTTATGGGTCTTCCTTTATTTATTTTGATAATTCTGCATCTGGCACAGTATCCAAACCTGTAACCTGGTGAGACAGAGCTGCATGTGTCAGACTGCCTTGTAATAACCATCAGAATGTGTTATAGCTGAGATGCTATGTGTCTCCAGTGAATATTTGCTGCCATTTGACCAGCTACCAAAATTTTCACGTTCAGGTTGAGGAGCAAAGAAGTATTTTTGATTACTAAACATAATCAGTTTAACTCCAGGTCTGAACAATGTACCTGTTTGCAACTGTTCAGAGCTATTCCTCCTGTTTGGGAGCTGGGGAAACTTGCTATCTTAGTGGAGTACAGCTTGACAGTTTGGTCAGGTATTGGAGGGGGGAGTGGTAAGCGATTGGAGGTAAGTTTCCCAATTTCCCAGTTGGCTCCAGTTGCAGCCTGCGCCGTGCTGTCGCACGCTGGCCGCAGCAGGGCCGCCGGCGCTGCAGTGGGACCAGTGACAGAAGCTGTTCTTTAGAATTTCCAGGATGGCTGTTTTCTGCGTCAGAATGAGACAGTCCTGCTGGGCAGAGCCACCGCCAAGAGCAAAGGTAAGGTAATGTTTATTCAATGGGAATGCTTAAGACAGCCGAGCAGCTAGTACCAGCTGCCACCGTAATAGTCACAGGAATATAGGAAAATAGCCTTTTTTCCCCCTGCTAGCCTGAGTTTTAGTTTTTGTACTGTAACTTTCTTGTTTTATAAATAACTTTGTGCTGGGTTCTTGTCATTAAACTAGTTTGAATTCAAATAATATGTGTTCTGATGTAAATGTTAATTCTGTGTGACTTTTTTCCCCTCCCTTTTCAAAATTCTTTAATCTGCTGTTTCCTCTTTTTCTTTCTTCCGGGAAAAAAAAAAAAGGGGGTTATAATGTAAGCTGGTCCCTGTTTCATCATGGGAGATGCTGAATCTATATAAATAGTGCTGAAAAATGGCACTAGAAAGTTTTGGGAGGAATGAGACCCCAGGAAACATCTGCTATCTTTATACATCCTCTCTCGGAGACTTTCAGCAGTGCTGTGGTGTGCGAGAAAATGCTTGCAGTCTGCGACCATGCTGAGTTACAGCTCGTGAGGAAAAAGGGGGATTTTCACCCCCATTGCTCAGTGACTCGGTTGCATGTGTTGGAGTGAATACTGGAAAAAGAAGGCAGTAATCTCCTTAGTAACTGCAGACTGTGTGCAGTTGTGGTCCAAACAGTCGATGTAAAACTAAATCCAAGTAAGGAGCAAGTTGGGATGCAATGCGAGCTCCTCACACTTGTTCAGGGATCGGTATGTAAATTTTCTCAGTGGCCATTCTAGAACCCGATGAACATCTGGCTGTAATTCACACCTGTGAAAAAGAGAACAAAATTAATTACAGCATGTTTCCTTGGTTCTGACTTGCAGAATTATTTTCCTCAGAACAGATGAATTTGATCTCCATTTTTTCTGTTACTTGGTGCTGGGCTATAGCTATCAATACCTCTGAAGTAGTGGGGTTTTGTTTTTTCCCTGTCTCTTCAAACTATACAGAACTCTTATTTGCAAAACCTTTAGCCAAGAGGACTTCAACGGACTGTGACGCAAAAGGCTTCTCGAATATTTTCTCTGGTCTCAGATTATTTTTTTTTCTGTTCCTTTTTACTGTGGGCAAAGGTAATTCTCTGCTCTGTACTCGCATATCAAAAGCACCGGTATCATAAAGCATCATTTGTTGAAAAGCTCTCTAGGAAATCTCTTGTTGCCTGTGAAGCCTTGCTGTAGGATACTTTTTAAAGCAGATTTCAGAATTTGTGCAGCCTCGGAAGCCTCCTCTGTTGGCACCTGCAAGTTTGACTTCTTTGGACTTCATGAACAAATACTTTCCCGGTTTTGTATCTTTATAATTTTGTGTGTAGTTTCAAATCTAGTTTGTGAGAGGCTAAGACTGACTGTTAGATATCAGCCCTTTATAATGATCCTGTATGTGCAGATTGTATGTTTATTCAATGCTCTACCTGTTGTACAGTGTTTTTGAGATGTTACCATTTAAGATGGCACTTTATTTCAAATAAAAGCCTATTATTTTGCAGTCAGTAGTATTTAATATTGCTGGTGATTGAGTTGTATCATGTTATATTGTGCCATTGGACCACATGAGCTGGAGGTGGGGATCAGTGGTTCTGGGGGCTGTCCTCTTTCTGCAGGTGATGTTTGAAATGTGATTCCCGAGGTAAAGTGTTTATGTTTTTGGGGGGAGAGGGTATGGGGAGGGATCGAATGGTTAATTTTTTTGTCTCTTTTTTTTCTCCCCTGTCCCCAATGATTTGTGGTATTGCGTACCTTGTGCTTTATGCTTGTTTTTTTCTTTACTATTAAACTGCTGATGTTTATTTCCAGGAATGTTTTGCAAATGTCCTTCTCACTCTTCCCCTCTACAACTGTAGGTACATTGTTCCTTTTTATCAAATAAGCACGTTTGAAGCAAACCAAAGATAAAATAAAAAAGGTCTTAATGTCACGTAAAGGAATGTTTCTTAATGTGTGCAGATGTATAAGTAGTGACTATATTTTAAAACTCTATGATAATGCATTGCTTTCAGCTAACTGACAGATTTATGTTAAGTTAGAAGACACGGAGGATTAGAAGCGTACTGCGAGGAATATGGCTCCAAATTAAACTCTACTAAATTTCACGTGGCGCTTGGCTCTCAGCAGGGCTTTGTGTTACAGTCCTTCTTATATTGACACCTTTGACTTCTAGAAAGAAGATGCTTTCTATTTCAAATGGCTCTTTTAAAAGCAAAGTAGCCCACTTATTTCTAACTTAACATAAAGTTGTTGCATGGTCTCCTGGGATGATGGGGTGTTCATGCACGCTTGCATTTCTTCCTGTAGGCGTTCGTTGTGAAACATCTTTTGGAGTATACCCAACAGAGTGAGTCCAACCTGCAGTACAGCTTGTTTTTAGTTTTTGGCATCTTTATGACGGAAATAGTGCGATCTTGGTCCCTTGCGCTAACCTGGGCTTTGAATTACCGCACGGGGGTTAGACTGCGTGGAGCTGTCTTGACGATGGCGTTTAAGAAAATTCTGAAGCTGAAAAACATCAAGGAGAAGTCTCTTGGAGAGGTAAGCTGCAGCATCAGTTTAGAAATTGCAGTGTGGAAAAGCCTGTGCAATGTGTTCCTTTGAGAATGAGCTGTGTATCTAAATAATCTGTTATGTGTACTTTTCAGCTCATAAACGTATGTTCCAACGACGGTCAAAGGATGTTCGAAGCTGCTGCAGTTGGCAGTTTGTTGGCTGGCGGCCCTATTGTGGCCATCTTGGGAATGGTTTATAATGTGATTATTCTGGGTCCAACAGGCTTCTTGGGCTCTGCCATCTTCATCCTTTTCTACCCAGCAATGGTGAGTTGGAAAGAGTTAATTTTGGCCATTTTTGTTAGGCCAGACATATGTATAGTTCTGAACAGAAGGTGTTGAATTGTGCTCGTTTAGCCCGTTTATGGCGCTGCGTGTTACTGAAGGTGTTTCTGAAGATGGTGTATGAAGCAGAAATTTGGAAAGAGGAAACTCAAAATGGCAAAGAAAATTAGAAAGTGGACATAGGAAAGCAGGTAGATTTGTCTGAGATAAATATGTATTGCTAAATTAAACTGCAACATGCTCAGATGCTTGTGGTTGGTGTTGGAAGGACACAAGGTCTCCAGTTTGTGTGCAGGTGCTCAGTGTTGCATGAGCACATCGCTCTTGATTTCAACAGATGTTGAAAAGCACCACATCTGGGAGAGGGTGTTTTTGAGCAGTTACCCCTGCCTCCACTGCTGCTGAGGCCACTTCAAGCCAAAATAATCTTGTCTCTAAAATGCCCTGTACAGCCGCTGAGGGTTTGTCACTGTATTCATAATACAGGTTTTAAAAAGCATGGAGGCTGAATACTGTGAGGTCCACTTTGATCCAATTTATGTCGCCAACAGCAAGGATTAAAATAATGGGAATTATATTTTGAAGAGGGGAATGAGGAGTGGAGTTTGATCATCTTTACCAGCTCTTTTGAGCAGTCCTTGTCTCTTTGGCAGGAACTCCAAAAGAGGTTGTAGGAGTGTGCAAAGAGCTGAAAACTTCCTGAAGTAGTGTGTTTGGTTTTGAATTTCAGGCCAGGAAGGGGATGAGTGTAAGATCAGCAGATACTTAGAAACAAGTGAACAACTCCTTATTTTCAGATTATTTTAGTAAAACGTTAAAACTGTTTTACCACCTTCATCACACTGGTGTGTGGTAGAGAAGTCTACACCTCTATTTTCACCAGTTTTTTGTTTAACTTGCTATTGTGAGTCCAGTGCTCGGTGCAGATAGGGTGGGAGGATGTGAATAACCTTTTGTTAGAACAACAGCTGCCTTGCTCCGTCCCTGAATCCCTTTTTTGGCTTCAAAATTGGCTTTCTCTGGTAACAAGGAGCAGTTAAATGTACTTGCTCTTTCTGAGTTGCCATTAATGTTGTGCTGTGTTGCCTTTTGTTTCAGATGTTTGTATCGCGCCTCACAGCTTATTTCAGAAGAAAATGTGTATCAACAACGGATGAGCGTGTGCAAAAGATGAATGAAGTTCTTAATTACATTAAGTTCATTAAGATGTATGCCTGGGTCAAACCATTTTCTCAGAATGTTCAAAGTGAGTTCCCATAATCTCTAAATGTTTCCTTTTGTGCAGATGTCCCATTGCTTGGTGCATCCTCCCAGCTTAGTACCCTAGCTGTTGATGTACGTGCAATGTAACAATTTAATCCTTCAGGCTTTCTCCTTGTTGTGTGATGGGTTGGACAAACAGTCCTGCTTCTAAAATTTCACCTTCTAGCATAATGGTGTTTGTGGCTTGGCGCTAATCTTGAATTTTTAAATTTTGTTTCAATTTTTATCATTTAGTAAATGTGCTGGCTGCTCCATTTTAAAAGAGAGACCTCTGTTCTAATGGAGATTTATGGACCGTTAAAGTTTGCTTCTCTGTGACAGTGGTCTTTATCAGAAGGTATATAACATGATGAATGCTCAAGTGTAAAGAAATAGGTAGTCTTTATAGTGCTGCGGTAGTGTCTGTTATGTGTGCACTCCCATGAATCATACTTCAAATGTTTATATTTCTAGAAATTCGTGAGGAAGAACGTAAAATCTTAGAGCGTGCGGGCTACTTCCAGAGCATCACCGTGGGCGTGGCTCCCATCGTTGTGGTCATTGCCAGCGTGGTCACCTTTTCTGTCCATATGATCCTTGGCTACGACCTTACAGCAGCTCAGGTGACTGATTGCCGTACCAAAAATATTCTGTACTGTATTGCTACAATTGCTTTTCTGCTAAGCCATTTCTCTTCATCACGTACTGTGCTTGTGTGACCAGGCTGTAGCCTTGCTCACAGAAGTGTTCATCTGATGGGTGTCACAGCAGCAGATGTGGTCTTTTATGTTCCACAAAAAGCTCTCGGTGTTCAGTCCTGACCTTCCCCAGAACAGGTTTGGAGCTGAAAGTAAACCAGCACTCCTGTTTGCTGTTCACACAGGGCACTGGGATTACTCGCTGGTTTTGGTTTACAGTGTGCTTGGATGCAAACAGCACAAATTTGTCTTAAAACAGGATTTGAACTTGAGGCTTCAGAAGTGATAGGTTAATGCAGAATTTGCTAGCTGCTGCTTTTGGTAGACCTCCAAACACTGCAGATGTCTGTCTTGGTCTGTTACAAAGCACTGGAGGAAGAGTTGGGTAGATGTGCTGTTTTCTGCTGTTTGAGAATATGTTGAATATTTAAATGGTTATTCTTGGACCATGGGCTTTGAATTGCTGCTGTGACAATTCAGCTTTTGAAAGGTTGATGTTGTGAGTATATTGCATCCAAATGTGCTTGCTCTTGTCTCGTTTTTAGGCATTCACAGTGGTCACTGTCTTTAACTCAATGACTTTTGCTCTAAAAGTAACACCTTTCTCAGTGAAGTCTCTGTCCGAGGCGTCTGTTTCTGTCGACAGATTTAAGGTAAGCAGTCATCTGGCCTTTCGATTTTAACTGTAAGTGTGAGGTGTTGTATGTGTATCATAGATGCTAAGGGAACACTTGGAAGATAATGTTGTTTTAATGTCTGAGGAGTTATTTTTCTTTACACTTAGCACTCTATACTAATATTAGAAGTTTAAGATGGTATCAGTGTGGGAAGGAAAATATTTTTATTTAATGATTTTAGGATTTTGATGATGTTGGCCACTGTAAGAAATGGGATACAGGACGAGCTGGCTCACAGTATAATAAATCTTAAACTCCCTTTTAAGACCGTCTACATTAAAAGGCAGCGCAACACGTCTGCAGTGAAACTTAATGTTTTGCTAATGAACCTCATTTTGGAAATGTCATGTATCGTGTAGGCAGTTTTGCACAAAACCAAGAGAGTTTTATTTGTAGTCATGAAAACCAGAGGTTTTGTATTTCCAGACCAGATTAAGTGACTGAAACTGCACTATATGAGTAAAATGCAGTTGTGATCTGCCAAAACAAAATCTAGCAGAAAATTAAAAGCCTTATAACAGGGAATCCTATCTCATCCTTCAATCCCTGCAAAGTGAATTCTGTGTATGCTTTAGTATGAACTCAGAGCACACACCTTTAGTTTGTCTTCTCTCTTGAAGACAAGGGTGCATTGCACCTTGCAGAAATTTCCAAATAGGATTCCCCAAACATTGACAGAGATGGATTCTGTGAAATGCATTCATGAAACAAATCTGGGATTGAGAGGAATGGAATCTGCAGAATGGTTTTGAGATCCCATTACTCTTCAGCATTTTTGTTTTGTCTTCTGAGCCTAAATCAGGCTTTCTTAAATCCAAATGCACTGAAGGGAGTTTTTTTTGGGGGAGGGAGGTAGAGAGAAGGAGAAGGGAAATGGTAGTATCTCCCAGTTTGACTGTAAGCAGTGTAATCTGTGTAGGGAGTGTAACGCAGGGTGGGGGTGCTATAACATCACAGTAAAAATGTGACTGGCCTTTTGGCTGTGTAAATGAGTATGAGCTCTCTTAGGAATGTATGATTTGGGCATGGCAATTGCGAGAGTAAATTAGACTGAGAACTCAGAGGTCTTTAATTTCAAAAGGCGTCTTAGTTCAAAATATAAATTATGTCATTGGAAAATATTTTATTTTGTAATTAAACTGTGTGAAAAATCTCTTCCTAATCTGTGTTGATTGTAAGAACTGATGGATGTGGTGGAAAATGTGATACAGTGGACTCAATTAATGACTTACTAATTATTGTTAAGCAACCCAAGGTAGGTCAGCTCAATTTGTGTGAGATTACTTTTTCCCAGCGGAAAATTTGCAAGGTAAAGGCTGAAGTGAAAAGTAATCCCATCTCCTTCCATGGTGAATTGGTATGCAGGACGAGTCAGTCGCTTTCCCTCCAAGTGACCTCTCCTCTCCAAGCCACGTATTCTACTCGTGTGGTTTTTAATCTGGAAATTTCAGAGCTGCATTTGCAAACAGCATTAAAGGAATATTTATATTGCCCTCTTACATTGCCTTGAGAGTATTGCAGTTCTGCAAATGTCTTAATGTATCTCAGTGCTTCCACCACATTCAGGAATGCGCTGGCCACTTAGCAGGCCTGGAGTTAGTTTACACTAATGAGCTACCTTTTGCTCTTCAGCTTCCTCCTACTATATAGCCTGATGTGTTTTGCTGCGTGAGTGTGCCATAGGCTTGTCTCCCAGTCTTGATCAGGTGTCTCATCTTTACACCTCTCTCACAACTCCTATCAGAGTTTATTTCTAATGGAAGAGGTTCATATGATAAAGAAAAAACCAGCCAATCCTCACACCGCGATAGAGGTGAAAAATGCTACCTTGGCTTGGGACTTCTCCCACGCCAGCGTCCAGAGCTCACCAAAGTTGACCCCCAAAGTGAAAAAAGACAAGAAAGTCACCAAGGGCAAGAAAGAGAAAATGAAGCTGCAGAATGAGGGACAGCAAGCTGTGCTGGCAGAGCAGAAGGGCCATCTTCTGGTGGACAATGATGACCATCCTAGCCCCGAAGAGGAGAACAAAATCATCCACCTGGTTAACCTACGGCTTCAGAGGACTCTCTACAACATTGATTTGGAGATAGAAAAGGTAAGAGGAAAAAAAGGAGGAAATCTGAGCTGTTGAAAGGCCTCATTTTTAGCTGGCCCTTGGAATAGAGTGCTGTACGTTTTTGCATGAAAAGCAGCGCATTGCTTTTGTGCACTCCTGTAATAACCATGGCAACTGCAGTATCCAGGATGCGGTGTCTGATCTGGATGTAAACAGCTGTGCCATTTTAGCAAAGTAGACCTTTGCGAACAGCCTAGGAAACCGCTACAGGTTGTACAGCTTTCACATCTAACTGATTGATTGTAGCTCTCGGGACAGTATGTGAGCCACTGAGCTTAAAGAATCTGCAGGGGAAGAGGGGTATCAGTGGGTTCTTGGTGGGTGGTGTATTCCTGCAGCTGTTTGATAATTTTGCAGGATTTCAGCTATATTCTGGGTGGACATTTTAGGTGATTAAGTGTTCTAATGAAGCATAACAGTGCTTTTCATTGAAGAATGTGCAATTTTCTTCCCTGGCAATTTTTGTACAGTAGAAGGACACAGATTTTCAAGAACTTAGAAGCAGTTGGAGTCCTCATTCCAAGATGGGTAAAAGCTTGTAAAATGTCAAAAATAAAAAGCATTGAACTTAATACCTGACATCTACGAATACAAAAGTTTTGCAGGCTGGCAGATAGATGCCATAGCAGTGGGATCCTTGCATTTATCAATATATTTGTGCTTAAATTGCCTCCTGTAGTCATATGAGTAGAGGGATAGTTTAAACTACGTTAAACTATAAAAAGCCTGTATTGTAAACTTTTGAGACCATTGTATATAGTTTAAAAAGTAGCCTTGAAAAAGGAGTACACCGTTACTTGAAAATGTAAAGGCCAGTTTATCAGAAGTTTGTAAATGAGAGGAAGCCAACAATGTGTTTCACAAGTGTAGCTGTGCCCTTCTTGTCCACTTCACCTTTTGTTACAAAAGGAGCAAAAATAGTTTTGATTAATTCATTGTATAACGTGGGTATCAACCCACTCATTTTATTGCGGAGAATTGCTTCAAAGTAACTGAATCCTAGCTCTTTCTTGGTACATGTTCCTTAGCAAACTGCATCTCATAGGCAAGGAGTTTTACTGGACAAGCATATCTTAAATTCTGTGTTTCTTTAGTCTTTCCCTCTTTGTCTTTCTTTATCACACTCAAATGCATCTTGGTGCATTCTGTTCAGGAAGGCCTTGGTGCTTTTGGCTGAGTGCAGGGTTCCCTGGGCCTGTGTCAGGCCCACTCAAAGCTGATCTTAAAATACATTCATTTTTGCCTGTGGAGTTTATACAGTTTTAGTTCACTGTGGGATAGTGTTCACCCTTTCTTATTTGTAAGTTAAAACACTGACTATCTTGCTTTTTTCTGTCTGTTACGTCTCTCTTCAGCTGTCATTAATGTCCAGCTTTCCCCTCTGAGGTACTAAAGGTAGTCCAAATTCTGAAAGGGATGGAAAACATAAGAAATGAGTACCATTTGCTTTTTTCTTCTGTCTAGGGAAAACTTGTTGGAATCTGTGGCAGTGTGGGGAGCGGAAAAACTTCACTTATCTCGGCAATTTTAGGACAGGTGAGAAATTCTGTTTTGACTACTTTTGCTCTTCTCTTTCACATCTCTCATGTTACTTATTTGTACTCTGCAGAAGGAAGTCTGTTCTAAACATGGAATAGTGTAATTTCACAGTTTATCTTTAATTTCAGATGACCCTGTTGGAGGGCAGCATTGCAGTAAGTGGAACATTTGCATATGTGGCCCAGCAGGCCTGGATTCTCAATGCTACGCTTCGGGACAACATTCTTTTTGGCAAGGAATACGATGAAGAAAGGTTTGTCAGAGATGTTTGCTGATTTTTGCGAAAACTTAGTAATTCTTGGCCCAAGTCTGGGAAAATTTAATGCAGAGTGCACTGCAGGTGACCAGGTATCCTTTTAGATCTTTAAAGGCTCCTTTAAGTCTCATTTATGAGCCTGGCTCTCTTGCACGTGGTTGCTGATGGCTGTCAGTGCGATGCCATTGCTCATTTGCAGTGAGGGCTATACCTCACGCTGGAGCACTGTCTGACCTCTGGTTTTAGCAGCTGCTGTGGAGCAGCGCTGAAGTGGCATTTGCTCTGCTCTCCTGGCCTTGCCCTCTTTAAACACTACTGCTGTGTGCAATGTGCTGGCAACTTCTGTGGGCCTTTCCTGTGGCCTGTGCTTGCTGTCCCTGGAGAGAAATTGGCTCCTTACTTTCACAATACTTCAGAAATAGGTGATTATCCCTAGTTTCCTCCTGGGAATCCAAGGCAGGTAATTTGTTTAGGCTGCTGGAATGTCTGCTATTAATGTAGAAAGTGAGATAATGCTGTACTAGATACTTGGAAAAAAAATAACGACATTCTTTCTATTTATCTAATTGTTCTTTAGATACAACACCGTGTTGAATGGTTGCTGTCTCAGGCCTGACCTTGCCATCCTTCCAAATGGGGACCTGACAGAGGTATGAATACTTAGAGTAAACTAATTAGTAGATGAAGAAAAGTATAGTTTTGGTTTGGACTAGACAGGAGTTGAGGGGAACATCAGTCTGGTATGGTATAAGCCAGGTTGTTGAATGCACCTTCTGGAGCTTATCAGTGCCAGCCCTGGGCTATTGAGAATTGTGCTGTGGTTTTGACTCAGATGTTGACAGTTTGGCAGTTTCTCTTTGTAAAATTCGCTGCCCTAACAGGACAGCTTGAACTTGATTTAAAATAGCTAACCAAAAAGCATGGCTATGTTAATACAAAAAAAGGTAAAATAAGCAAAAAAAAGTACTACCACATTTCAAGCATATTAACCTTGAGTTTGGGTGTATAACACGTTTCACAAACAAGTGGAGACCTAAACTATAAAATGTTAAAACTATATGTAATGTGGGGGTATCTGTGTGTGTGTACGTGTGTGTGTGTATAAAATATTATGGTCTCTTTCATTCCAGTCACCTTTTGAGCTCTGAATATATCTGCATTTCATGATGCTGTAGATATAAAATATCGTGTGTGTGTCTGTGCAGATTGGTGAACGAGGAGCTAACCTGAGCGGAGGACAGCGCCAGAGAATCAGTCTGGCTCGAGCCCTGTACAGTGACAGGAGCATTTACATCCTCGATGATCCTCTCAGTGCCTTAGATGCTCATGTTGGAAATCACATTTTTAACAGTGCAATAAGGAAGCACCTGAAGTCAAAAACTGTCCTTTTCATCACTCATCAGCTTCAGGTACTACATCTTTTATTTATTTTTTGGACTTTCTTGAAATCCTCTTTAGTCAGTTGCCTTTGTACTGGAAGTTTCTGTGCCTTGACCTGTTACAGCACAACCCTGTCCATCTATAGGATGCATGGTTTACATTTACAAACTAGATTTGCAAATATGCACTGAGCATAATCAGATTCTTTATTTGATACCATTGCTGCTTGGACTGTGACTGGTAATGCTTTGCTGAAGAAAATTTACCAGAGAAATAAATACCTTGCTCAAAACCACTTTTGCTAACTTGCTGTAAACCTAGTTCATCACATCAGAAAGCGCTTAGATTTGATGTCAGTAAATCAGAATTGATTATTCTGAGATTTTTCACCATCTTCTGTGCATAGGAATATCAATAGCCAGTATATCGTTTTTTGCAGTGTTTAAGTATCCTGAATTGCTTTCCATAACAGTTTGGTTTTGATAGAACATAGAAACTTTGTGTAGACAGACATGGTGCTCTAGTCAATGCAGGACCTTTGAAAATCAGTTGTCTGTTACGTGGGAAGAGGTACATTGTGTGCAAATGTCTATAAATTGCTGGATAGGATTATGTGGGAGGAGTGTGTCTGATTATTGGACGTAGTGATGGAGACTTGTTCTTACTGCCGTTTTCTCCAGTATCTCGTTGACTGTGATGAAGTGATCTTCATGAAAGAAGGCTGCATTACTGAGCGAGGAAGTCATGAGGAACTGATGAATTTAAATGGGGACTATGCAACTATTTTTAATAACCTGCAGCTGGGAGAAACACCACATATCGAGGTACTCATTTGTTTATTTTAAAGTGCTCTCAGTGTTGACTTTTCTGATGAGATGAACCAAATGTCATAGTTGGAAAACTGGAAAATGGCTTCACATGTTCATGTGTTGATCTGACTGATAGATTTCCTGGAGAATAATCTGTACTTCATTAGCACTTGGTATTTTCAGTCACAGTTGGTATTTAGGGAATGCGGAGTAGAGAGGACTCTGCCAATGAGCTCATGAGTTGAACATGAAAGTAATGTATCGTCTCCTCTGGTGGTGCTCAGAGCAGGAGGCTTGTTGTCTCTTTGATTTTGCACCTTGCTTCTTAATTTACCTCCAGATTAGCACAGACCAGGAGCAACTTTTGTCTGAAAAAACTTTTTCCTGATTTGTTACTTCTGTTTCATATAGGGTATGACCATGGTGCAGCAAGAGTGACACAACTTGTCAAAACCTAGATATAACAGTAGTTTGGAGATGTAACTGAAAATGCTTTGTTTTAGGGCTGTAAATGCAAACTTGGATTTGTGATCTAGTATTTTAGTTGGTGGAAAAAACATAACTAGAAAATAGAACCATTCAGTAGGACATGCACTTAAATTTTCAGCAATTTGATTTTTCCCAGCTTTTGCCTGTTTGTTTCCTGAAGTTGTTCTTTGGAGTAAGCAACTTTACTGCTTTTTATTTGATGATGATTTGCCTCATTAAGTTTTGTGTGCATTTTCTCTTAGTAAGAAGAGATAAAAAGAGCACATCAGTGGTTTATTTTATTAAGAGATGCACAAAAGTTGCAGGCACTTAAAAGAAGTTTATGAAAAGGTAGCACTGTGATAAATGCCCAGATATAGAAAGTGTTTGGTGACATTTTCTCTGGGAAGATAAGAGGGAAAGAAGAAAAAGCATCTCATACGTTACTCTGCATGTCCTTTTATAGTTCTACCATTTTAAGGCTAATGTAATGACAGTTAATGTGAGATTCTCCAGCCTGCACACTTGGCTGACCTTTACTGTCTCTGTAAACACTGGCTCATGGAAGCAGCCTTAATTTGCATTCCCTATGGGACAGGAAGAAATGGATGGTAAAGTTAGATTCTCTGTGGTTGGACATATGTGAGATGTCTCTTGTAACAGCATGTGGGAAGATGACCCCAAAGATGGTGTGTAGGGGGGTTCAGTTAATGTGGGCTCTCTCAGGTAGTGACTTCCATTTGTGGGAAGATGGCTGGGTTTAGAGCAGGAATTGTGCATGCAGTGTAGTGTTTTGTCATTTGATTGCTGGTAGACCAAGTTAACCTGACTTTGTCCTTGGAGATATTTCATGAGAGCTTTCCTGAGTGAAGTACTAGGGTGTTCAGGGTGAAAAAAAGCCTCTTAATAAAATTGTTTTTACAAGGAACAGAAGGATTGTATCTTTCTCTCAGTAGTAGGGATGCCATTCCTCTACCATGTATGCTTGCTCATTGTAGAAATTAACCTTGCATGCTACCAGTACAGATCAGTAGCAGTTCAGTTAAATAGAGGAGGAGAATTTAATCCAGCAGGGTTGGAAGTCATCCATAATAACAGCAAAGTTAGTATTGTCCTTGATGTGAATGCTAGGATATTGAAAGCCTTTGTCCTTGGGAGGAAGCTCATAAAAAGTTTTGGTTCAGATATGAAAATGTCAAAGCAAATTACTCCTGTATATTTAGTGTCATTGTTTTCCTGCAGATTAATATAAAGAAGAACACAAACAGTTCACTGAAAAGACCCCAGGATAAAAGTACCAAAACAGGGTCTGTGAAGAAGGAGAAAGTTGTAAAGAAGGAAGAGGGTAACTATGTAGTCAGATTTCTGGCTGTAATTATTTTATATACCAATAAGCTCAAAACATTTACTTTCAAAGTGTCTTATGAATGTACCTCTCAAGTTTTGAAAGCTGTCTTAAGTCCTGGTCACTCAGTGTTGTCCACACAGGCAGTGGACAAAGATCATACATTAATTGATGAAATGTGGGTGCCTGCACAATGTTTTTAAGTTCCATCAGGCTGCCACTGGTCAGATGCCATCAGCACAAAGGAGCTTGTGGTGCCCTGACTCCCACGCCACCCATCCCTGCTATCCTAAGGAGGAGTGTGTATAGCTTGGTACTCTCAGTGTCCTAGGCAAGACATGGCATTTATGTATGAAGAATTGGAAGATTTGATGTCTGTTTTGTGGTGGTGTCTCTGTTTAATGTTAACTTTGAACTTCAGCAGGGTTTAAAAAGCAATAGTGAGGCTGATACCAGCCTGGTATTTAAATCTGTGCTGATCACGCTTTTTCAGGCATACCACGATGGGAATTGTTCTACAGAGGAAATGTGACTTCTTCAAAAACTATTTGAACCATTGAGCTTGACATATTAAGTAATGTCTATGTTACTGAAAGTACTCTGTACAGTTTGAAAATGACTGTAGTTTCATGTCATGTCACTTCCAGAAGTTTCATGGAACAGCTCTTTTCCTCACTCCCTCCTCTTGTGTTTTACAGGCCAGCTGGTCCAGCTGGAAGAGAAAGGCAAAGGCTCTGTTCCCTGGTCCGTTTATGGTGTCTACATTCAGGCAGCTGGAGGCCCCTTTGCATTCCTCGTCATTATGGCACTGTTTGTGCTGAATGTGGGCAGTACAGCCTTTAGCAACTGGTGGCTGAGTTTCTGGATCAAGCAAGGCAGTGGAGTAAGATAACTGAGCTTTTTTACTCTCGTGTCTAATGGGCAGGGGGATTGCTCTCCTAGACTAATCCCAAGCAGTCCTAAGAGGCCAAATGGTGCTTCCTAATTTAAGCAAGTTGTAAGGAACTTTCTAGTGAGATCACCTCCTGAGAAGTATCTCCAAGAATAAGAGTGCTCCACTAATAAGAAAGATGTAATACCTCGTGTGGTTTTGGACTGTTCCTTATCAAGGAAGTGAAAATGTGAAAGGAGTAAACAAGCTGCAGGAGGAATGACTAGTTTTAGTGCTGGTGTTTAAACGTGACCTTACATCTAACAGGATAATCCTGTTAAAGTATATGACTTCAAGTCAAGTAACTATTGAGAGTTGCTTTGGAGACTCTGATGACCTGGGATGGTCTGGGACTTTTCCTGCTCTAGGGACTTTGATTGCAAGTCTTGTTGCATTTAAAAATTCAAATATAACAGCAATACTACTTTTTTGGAGGGTCAGGGGAAGCAAGCTACTAACCTCAGAGAAGAAATAATAAAGTGCAGATGGCCAATGTTAAAATAAGTAATGGTGTCCTTAAACATACTTAGATTAAAAGAAAAAAATAAAAAAGATCGTATGATAGTGTGACAGTAAAAAACTCACTGCAGAAAATAACTGTATTTGAGAAGAAGACAATGTGCAACCTATCCAAGGTGAATATTGCTGTGAAATACGAGTGCTGGCATGCAAGTATCTGTCATTGTTCAGAAGAAGTCAAGTAATGCTAAGCATGAAATGAGAGATTAGGAATCAAATGAAGTAAATATTGTGGTATTATTTTCAAAGGTACTGTAGGAAAAAGGCCAAGGGTTAGAAATCTGCTGGTCAAGTATCTTTGCTAGGGAGAACTTTCTTAAGTATTCAGAGATCACTGAAGTACTTTAAATAAAGAAGAAATACCAAATATGGTGGGAGGGGACAGAGGGCAGTTAAATTCTACCATGTGTAATGCGTACATGCTTAATCCTTGTCTTAACTAACTATTGAAACCTTGCATCTTCTGCAGAACACCACTGTGACTTTAGGAAATGATACTGTCATAAGCAACAGCATGAAAGATAACCCTCACATGCATTACTATGCGGGCATCTATGCACTGTCTATGGCAGTGATGTTGATTCTGAAAGCTGTTCGTGGTGTTGTCTTCGTAAAGGTATGTGCCGATGCTGCTGCTTTTCTTACCCCTCACAGCCCCACCTTATTCATACTGCTGACACCATGGTTCTTTTGGTCACCTCCCAAGAGAGATTCTGAATGAGAGAAAGTCAGATCACAGATTGTGAGGTTTCCATAAGTCATCTCTTGGGGCTGCATCAGGCTTTCTGTTAAACTTCTGCCTGAATTAATAGCTTCCTTCCGTGGCTTGGAAGAGCAGAATGCAAGAAAAAAAGCCTTATGGTTGAAGAGAGAAAACGAGCAGAATGTTTTGGTCCTCAGCGGAGGGTCAGTGACAGGAAGACAAAGCATCCTTTCATAACACTACAACGTCTTCTGCATTGTCAGGGAACTCTCAGAGCATCCTCAAGGCTCCATGATGAACTCTTCCGACGGATCCTGCGCAGCCCCATGAAGTTCTTTGACACTACCCCCACTGGGCGGATTCTCAACAGGTTTTCCAAAGACATGGATGAAGGTATCTTTCACTGTATGCGCTGTAAATCCCACATTCAGACCCCCAAATTACCTCCTTAATACTCTCCAGTCTCTTGCTGTTGGGGTGATTGTACCCTATATCCATTGCCAGATGTGTACTTGTAATAGACAAAGCAGGAATTGGGGCATACCTGGTTATGATTCTAGAAGGCAGCTGATACCTCAAGTCTGTCTGTTCACTTATAAAGAAGAAAATGTACTTTTGTACCTATAGACTGCACAAGGAGTCTTATCAGTTAATGCAGGGGGAACCTACAGTTTCAGGGTGAAGTTGATATGCAGCAAAGGTGGTAATTAGGTCAGCTGCATCAGGGCTGTTTCTGCAAATGGGAATAATTGGAAAGCCTACTAGCATCTCAGAAGATAAAAGCACTCCTAATGAAAATGTACATTTTTAATTCGAATAAGCCATGAAAAATCACTGTCCCTGACAATGATGTGCAGCTGGACTGAATTGCTTTATGTAAGTTGTTTTAGCTTTCTCTACTCAAGGTCTTCCTCTTTTCTCTCCATCCAGTTGATGTTCGTTTGCCATTTCAAGCAGAGATGTTCATCCAGAACGTCATCCTTGTGTTCTTCTGCGTGGGGGTGATTTCTGGGGTTTTCCCCTGGTTCCTGGTGGCAGTGGGACCACTCATTGTTCTGTTCACAGTTCTGCATGTTGTCTCTAGGTAAGTGTATCAGCTGCTTTGACTGGAAGTAGAGATACTTTGCCCTGTTAAGGAGGGCATAGGGTTCTTCAAGTGCGTATACATCAGTGTAGTGGTTGGCATAAGGTGGTTGTATGTGTCACTTAAAAGTGCTTCTTTGCTTCCAGAGTCTTTATTCGAGAGCTCAAGCGTCTGGACAACATTACACAGTCTCCATTCCTGTCTCACATTACATCCAGCATACAGGGTCTCTCCACAATCCATGCCTACCACAAAGGACAGGAATTTCTGCACAGGTCAGTCTAGATAATTCATCTGAGAATGGTGGAGCACAAAGCAGGCTGTGACAGGTTTACATTCAAAAAGATTTATTAATGGGGTTTGTAGCTGATGGCACGTGTTGGCTTGAAGAGTGGAAGTTACTTTTCAGGAGGAAAAAATGGGGGAGAAGAAGGGAAAGGGAAAACTTCCCAGTAGCTAACTGGGAGGAACAGTGATGGGGTCCCAGGTGAGTGCCTTCCTCTGGGGTTCTCTGCAGTGCAGTGGGTGGCAATGATAGTGGTGAGTACAACTTTTTAGCCCCACTTTTTCCCTAGTAGTGTATACTTTTCATCAGGTCCTGCTTGTACATTCTGTTGGTTGATTCTCTTTATGATGGTAGATTAGCATGGGTTAGAGGGTGCTGGTAAAACCTCAGTGTGCATATTGATGAGTTATTAGTCTCCATGCACATGTGTAATTAGATAGCATTTATCAAGTGTTTAAGCGACTGTTGTCGACCTTGTACACTGTGCTTGGTTTTCTCTAGTATAAACTAAAATCTGCAAAACAAATGTTCGTGAGGGAAAGTGGGACACTTCTCACGTCGGTGGTAGTTGCTTCCCATGAGAACCGGCCACAACAATATCAGGGGTTTGCAGGTGCAAGGTCATGAGACCAACAGCATGGGAGCACAGGGAAAACTGCCACAAAAGCTCTGTAAAGGCACTGCTACAGCAGCTTAGATGAAAAGCCGCAGAGGTGCAAATAACAGTCCATTAGCATTGCTGGTGCTGGAGCACTGAGGCGCTCTGCAGGCTGTGCAGTAGTGATTGGTGTAGAACTGAGTTGCACGACCAGAAAAATGTAAAGTGTCTCCCTTTAAATATACTTTCTTAGCTCTGCAGGGTCAGGATTGTAAATTGGATGGCTATTGATGTGTTTTAGTGTCACCAATCGTATCAAAACTTACCGTAACTTAACGTCTAGATTTGTGTATAAAATAGCGCATATTCTGAAGCACTGTTGCTGTTACCCTTGAGTGATTTGTAGCCATTGAGCATCCTCTTGAAGGTCTTACATAGGTGAAGCTGTGGTGAATGTGTCTGTAACATCCCTGAATTTTGATTCACCCCCGGTATAATTCATTGTTGTATGCAGAAACTTGGTGATTTGACTTCTGAGAGTTTGAGCTAGGTAGATATCTGACATTATTCAGGAAAGTTTGTAAACTGTGCTTTCATGGCTGAGTTTGAGACTGTGTCAATGATGGACTGGTTTTCCCACGCTGAATTCTGATACTGGAACAGGGGTTTAAGTAGCTCTGCTATTTGTAGAACATCAGACTCGGAGGTCTACTAACCTTTCCTGTATTTGTTCCAGGTATCAGGAGCTCCTAGATGACAATCAGGCACCGTTTTACCTGTTCAGCTGTGCCATGCGCTGGCTGGCTGTGCGGCTGGACATTATCAGCATTGCTCTTATCACAACCACCGGCCTTATGATTGTCTTAATGCATGGCCAGATTCCTCCTGCTTATGCTGGGCTGGCTATCTCGTATGCTGTGCAGGTGAGTATGTCCATACTGTAATATTTAATCTCTCATTTAATGCAGATATTGCTGGTAAGCAAAGTAACACATCGTTGAAACTCTTATTTAATGCATTGGAATGGAAAAAGATACTATTGCCTCCATTTTGGTAATGGAGGGGAAAGCAGTTCAGTCTCGGGACCTTTTGCTAGCAATCAAATGATGAATTATGAGGAGCTGAGTGCTTAATGCTGTTGTTTTGGGGAACTGCCTCTTTTTAAATGATTAAATAGAAACCATTTGAGGCTCTTCATATATATTGCATATATTGCAATTTTCCTGGATATTTCCAGAAACTGGATTGGTGGTACATCAGATATCTGCCAGCTGATGTCTTAGTGTATTGTCTACAGTATATTTTTACAGCGAACAGTGTCCAGTGTTGCAGTTGTGTGTTAAGGGACTTGAGGGCTCAGGACCCTTGCTCGTGGAGCTGTTCTTTGGCCTTTTCTGCCTCCTGGTGGTAGTAGGGTGAAATTACAGGATTTATATAATTAAAACTTGCTTGTGGGAAACCTTTCTAAACTTCTGGCTTTCCAAGCGATTTAATAAATTATGGTTATTTTAAAATTAACTATCAACTAAAACTAACTTGCCTTGGGCACCTTAGCTATATGTCGCCCAATGCCAAGAGTACTTGTATCAAATATCTGCTAGGTTTGTCTCTTAATTCAGTAATAAATCACAGCTCTCTAAATTGGTCTTTGTTTTCTCCCATTGCTCCAGTTAACCGGGTTATTCCAGTTTACAGTCAGACTTGCTTCAGAAACAGAAGCTCGCTTCACCTCAGTGGAGCGGATTGATCACTACATCAAGGTAGGACAGTAATGCATGTAGCTGCCTCTTGTAGAATTTCTTGTTGCTTGTTATGTTGCTGGTATAAGAGAAGAGAAAGTCAGCCACAGTTTGCCTTAATACAGAATGTGTGTTTCTGGTCTTGTAAGCACATTAATGCGTGTACTGTAATACTGCAGAGTGTTTTGTGAAGCGTGTATAGAAGCATTGGCAGGATGAAGAGCTGGCAGGTACCCAAGCTTACGGGCATCACTTGCCTGGCATCACTGAAGTTACATGAGGATATTGGAAGCTTGCTGACAGTCTCAGTAAAGAGTGGAGTGTGTGAAAGGAGTCACTGGATGTGTGTGCAGAACTGGGCGCAGGGGAAAGTGTAGCCAGGAGAGAGCCTTCTACTGGGTCTGGCCTTTGAGGAGAAAGACTTTTTTACTTAACACATAATACACATTCCCTCTGAGCTTTAGAAGGAGAGATATATCTATTTGTTAAATCTGGGCTATGTGCTAGTTGATATTTGTAGACATTTTTTAGGCTGTGGATTTAATACTGAAGGGCCACAGGGATGATGGAGGGAGTGGAGCATCTCCCTGATGAGGAGCGGCTGAGGGAGCTGGGGCTCTTTAGCTTGGAGAAGAGGAGACCGAGGGGTGACCTCATTAATGTTTATAAATTTGTAAAGGGCGAGTGTCAGGAGGAAGGAGCCAGGCTCTGCTCTGTGATGTCCAATGACAGGACAAGGGGCAATGGTCCCAAGCTGGAGCACAGGAGGTTCAATCTGAACATGAGGAAAAACTTTTTTACCGTGAGGGTGACAGAGCATGGCCCAGGCTGCCCAGAGAGGTTGTGGAGTCTCCTTCTCTGCAGACATTCAAAACCATCCTGGACGTGTTCCTGTGTGACCTGGTCTGGTGATCCTGCTCTGGCAGGGGTTGGACTGGATGAGCTTTCGAGGTCCCTTCCAACTCCTAACATTCTGTGATTCTGTGAAGAGAGAAAAAAAAAATTAAAGCTGCCTGCTCCAGTTAAATAAATCCTCTTGTGGCATCTAAGTGGAAAATTTCTGTATAGAAGACTTGGTGACCGCACGAACTGACAATGGTGTGCCAAATACTGCCTGGTATCTCTCCCTGGGCTGAGATGGGTTTATCACTGTAGGCCTTCAGGGGCGAAACCTATAGCTGTAGGCTGCTGTTTTGTTTATTAAAGCTACTCTGTCATTTTATATCACTATTAAGCAACGCTTTCTGTGATTTTTCTTATTTGCTTCACTATGCAGCCATTTTATTATGTAAGTGTAAAACTGGTTTGAATCTAAAGTGAGGGAATAGGTGAGCAGTGAAACACCATGCAGGTTCTGTGCATTATGAAGTCCCAGGCTTGGCGGCTTTGAGTGCGAGCTCCGAGGTTGCTACAGGGTAACTACAGGCCTGTCAGTCTGACC